ATAGATAGATAGATAGATAGATAGATAGATAGATAGATAGATAGATAGATAGATAGATAGATAGATAGATAGATAGATAGATAGATAGATAAAATCTAAGAATAAGTTTAAGTGAAAGTTAGTAAATGTGATTAAAATCTCACATTAGCATGTGATTTTCATTTCTGGGATACCAAACATCACTTTCCATTGTAGTCCACTGTCAGTTAACAGAAATACTGTTCAAATTATTAAGATTCTATCATGTGCTTTTTAAACCCAGAAAAAGCAGCAAAAACTTTTGTTTTCTTTCACTAACCCCAATTTGCTTACCAACTAATTCATAGTTTGCTTACCAACTAATTCATATAATAAAACAAAGAAATCAAAATCCATAAAACAGTAGTTCATTTTTAAAGAGCACAGTTCAAACAGCCTAATGGAAAAGCTTTTGTTACACGGGACTGCAGGGATACCTACTCCGTTCATAGGAGCACAAGAAAACCAACAGTTCATCATAGACAGGATTTAGTTTCTTGTTGCTAACAGCAAACTATTCGCATTAAGTTACAAATCTCTGTAGCTCACAAAGCAAGCCTGGGACACACTTCTAACAAGTGAGTCGTCTCATCAAACCCTGCTCTGCAATCTTCATGCTGTGCTACACTTAGCTGGGATCTCTAAGGATATTTTCTTCATCTTCAGGATCGTTCTCCGACTTCATAACGCGTGAAAATGATCTTCCTTGCTGTGCAGCACTTCAGAACAGCCCAAGTCAGGTACTGAACTCCTCCTATCTCTACCTCTTTATAAACTGTCTTGCAAAGCTGACCCTCCCCGGACTCCACTGAAAATTCCAATAGCACTCTACATCCTGCCGCTTCAACACTGCTGCACAGACGCTGCGGCACAAGATAAAACTGTCCACCCGACCGCCCTGTAAACAGTGTGCAGACGTCTCCCATTGGCCAGGTTCTAATTAGATTCCATAGGGTTTGGCAGCTGAGTGGAAGAAAGGCGCAGCTAAGAATATACTGCAAAGGCATGCTTCTCTGCTGAGTAATAAATTTCAGGTCTATTGGGGCAAATGGCTCAAACATATCGTAAAACATGCTTATTATAGCAAAACAACTCATGTGACATAGCAATATTACGAGACAAATTTGGTTATTCCACAAAGCAACATTTAAAACCAGTCTAGGATCAACTATCAAGAAGTTATAATAGCCTTGATGGCCAGAAAATAAAATTTTATTTTAAGCAAATGTGTCATAGGTTCACTTAAGGAATCTCCACACCCCTCCCTACAACCCCCCCTCCCACCAGGGTAACACTGAAATTTTCTCCATTTTCTTGTGTACTCCTATCAGTGTGGTTCTGTACACAAGCAGGTTTCAGTTTACAAGTGCTGCCAGTCTGTCTCCTGACACGTTAAGTGAGAAGAGCCAGAGGCACTGCCAAGACACTAGATAGACTACCTTATGATGAATACTTTTCAACAAATTTTAAATTTAACTCAGTACTCTTTAATTTCCAAGTTTAGCGCCCTGCTGATATGACAAGTAAATATTTTATCAGCAGAAAAACCAAATTACCTAGAGTCAGGGATTTTTAAAAAAAACTGATTAAATACTAAAGAAGGCAAATGCACATTAAACACTGAACTAGATTGTAAATAAAACTCTATTGGGGACAAAACAGACAATTTCTTTACACTACGATGTTTAACATAATTGTACAACTTAAGTCATGGAAGCTTTTAACAAACATCCACAAGCTGAGGGTGTTTTCCACCTTCTAGTTACAATAGTATGAGAACAATATACACTTCCTCCAAAAAGACATTCTTGCGAAAACTGTTTCATGGGAATGCAAAACATTTCAGCATAAGTGTTTTATAGAGCATGCTGCCAGTTAAAAATCCCAGTATGAATTCCATTAAGAAATCTGCTTCCTACTACTTAAATTTGAAATATTAGGCCCATATTCTAAGATATATAGGCTCCACACCATAATGAATTACTTTTGAAACAATGCTTGCCCCCAAGCACATTAGACATCACAATGGATTCTAGACTGGATCCGGAGACTCCACCCGCTCTATTTTACCCTTCTTCAGAGGAAATCTGGGGTAGAACTCAAGCATGTCCTTTGGTTAACAAACCAAGTGCATTCTTTCTAGAAATAGGACAGCAATAGCAAAGGAAATCAAATGAAAGGGAGAAACCTATGAGTTATCAAAGCCATATAAGGAGCTGTCCTTGCTGAGGCTCGGGACACAGATTTTGTGAACTCCAGTACTACTTTCCTGAACTTCCCCAAATTCCCTCCACCCCCCACTTAATCTCCCCTTTCACTCCTCGCCCTCCCTTCCAGCTATTTCCCAAGCAATTCCAACAAATTCTGACTTCTGCAAATACCCCATACATTTAAAAATTCTTCCTTCATCAGGTTCTTCTCAAAAGTCACTTCCCTTCAGTAACTTTCTGCTTAGTCTTACTTTTCTTCATAATGCTTATTAGTATCTACCATTAATGGTATGTTTGCCTGTTTATTTATTTCCTACCTATGTGCTAGTATTTGTCTCAAAAATAACCAGAACGGGGCCCTCCCTGGTGGCACAGCAGGTTAAAGCACAGCACTGAGAAGCTAAAGCCACCTCTTCGCATGAGCTCGATTCCCGCCTGCCGCCTGCCCTGGAGGTGACCACATGGCATGGCAGACCTCTCCTGACCGCCCGCTGCTCCCCTCAGCAGTATACTTCGTAGATCTGCCTGTTCTGCTCCCCAGTCTGTCTCTGGTGAAGCCTCTTGCCGCCCCTGAGCCTCTGGCCTGTACCCCAGTTCTGTATGCACAAATAAATAAATCTTAAAACAACAACAACAACAACAACAAAAAAACAAAAGTGTTAAACAACCATGAGTAAGTGGAATTACTTTCTGGAATACAAGGACATATTAATAACAACCAAAATGACACAAAACACTAACAAGATTAAGAAGAAAAAGAGTACATGATCATCTCAATCAATATAAAAAAATTAGAAAAGATTAAAAACACTCATCAAATTAGGAATAAAAGAAACCTCAATATAATAAATGCCATACATGGAAATCACACAGCTAATATACTCAATAGTGAAAAACAACCTTGCCTCTAAGATCAGGAACAAGATAAGGATGCTAATTCTCACCATTTTTATTCAACATATATTCAAAGTGTTAGCCAGAGAAATTAGGCAAGAAAAGGAAGTAAAAGGTATCCAAACTGTAAAGGAAGAAATAAAATTATCTCTACTTGCAGACAACATGATTTCATACTTTGAAACCTCCCCCCCAAAAAAAAACAACTAGAATGAATTAAGTAAAGTTTCAGGATGCAAAACCAACACCCAAAAATCAGTTGTTTCTATATACTAAGAATGAACAATCCAAAACAAAATTAAGAAAATAATTCCATGTATAACAGTATCAAAATAATATATTAATTAGTAATAAACTTATCCAAGGAAGCTAACGACTAGTGTTTGAAAATGACAAACACTGTTGAAAGAAATTAGAGAAGACACAAATAAAGATATTCATGGACTGGAAGGTTTAATTTTGTAAGATGTCAATATTAGTCAAAGTGATTTATAGATTTAATACAATAAGCTATCAAAATTCCAATGGCATAATTTTCTAACAGAAAAAGCCATCCTAAGAGCCCTTATACTGAATCTCATGGAACCCAAAGAGTTGAGTAATCTAGAAAATGTTGTAGGTATTATATTTCCTAACTTCAAAACATATTATAGAACTACAGTAATGAAACCAACATGCTGTTAACATAAATATCAGTGAAACAGAATACAGAGCACAGAAATAAACCCTCACATACATGGTCAAATGATGTCTGACAAGGTGCTAAGACCAAACAATGGGGAAAGAAAGTCTCTTGAAAATAATGATGCTGGGCAAACTGCATATCTACCTGCAAAAGAATTAAGTTGGATGCTTATTTTATACCACATTCAAAATTTCAAAGTGATTAAAAACCTAAACTGAAAATTCAAAGTTCCTAAAAGAAATGAGCTTTGTGTCATTTAGAGTCATGACTTCTAAGATAAAAGATCAAAAAAGCACAGGCTATAGTAGCAAAAATAAAGTAATAGGACAACATAAAAATTAGTAATTTCTTCACATCCATGTGAAGCTGGAGCCCTGAAGCACAAGTCACACAGCATGACCAACTGTGCCATGGCCCACTGCCTGGGTGGTGGCACTTGGAGGCTAAGTGGCAGCAGTGGTTTCCTACCCCACCGCCCCAATGTGTTTAGGCAGTGGCTGGTGTGCTCTGCTTTGAAAGCAGCAGCAGTGATGGGAGTTCCCACCTGCCACCAGAACATGCTGCCTATGGGCAGCCGCTCCCTCAGTGAAAGCAGGGTTTGATTACCAGAGCCCCAAGGCCCCAGCAGCAGCAGCAGCAGGGGGAGGAAGGTGTGGATGGCTACACAGACACCAACCTCAGGTCTGGTTAGCCAGAGCCCCTCCACCTCAGGGCTCCAGAAGCATGCTGCTTATAGGCAGTGCATCTTACCACTTGCCACCAGGCCCTACTGGTGTTCAGATGGCCAGCAGAGCCTTGCAATGACAGAAGGCCATGTGGTTTCCCTACCGTGCTGTCCCAGGGCATGCTGCCCCTCTGGGGCTGCAATAGCAAGGTCTCCCTATGCCAGGATCAACTCTGAAATAGAAGGCAACAGCAAGACCTGCAGCCCCTGGTTCAGGGTACAAGAAGGACCATGGGGCGCCACTGGGCCACCTTTAGTACTGCAGATCCCTGGAGCAACAGGCAGTAGCGAGGCCTGTGGAGTCCCAGGCCAACATAGTGAGTGTCCAACAGAACCCCATCCTGCAGCAACTAGGCTCCATGTCCTGGTGCTGCTGCAGAACCCCCCTCCCAATACGTTGTGACACCCAACACCACTGAAGGGGTATCAGGTAAAGAATGGCCCCCTGCCCAACTGAAGCTGTGTCTGGCTATGGTTCCTCAGAGCCCATTGGCCCGTGAGCCTGCCCTGAGGTCAGGTCAGGTTGAGTCTATTCAGGTACCATGGTTTCTATTTTATATTTGATGCCTGGATTGTAGAATGGACCCATCAGATGTGAGCTAAATACACCAATTAGGTTCAAGCCCAGATCATTTAATTATTTAGATCAAAATCAAGAATAAGCTGATTGATGCAAAATGGTTCAATCAGTCACTTAAAATTAAAATTGATCCAATCAGGTGTATAGCGGGATTCCTGAAAGAGGATATAAGAAGGCAGGGGCAGCTTAGGCATTCCTGTTCCTGACCTCCAAAGTAAGAAGGATCAGCAGCCAACCTCTGAAGGAAGAAGAGAGGCCAAAAACTAGCTGAGATTACTGGTTGCTGCACCTGACTTCTTCCCTGCCTCTGACATTGCCTGAAAAGAGCGTTACAGGCTTTGGCCTGGTGCCTCAAAGAACTGCTTGTTGGTGGTGTAGCCCAACTACTCACAAAGAACTGTTAACACTGATGTCTGTGATACTGCATCCTAGTGACTGGTAGTGACTGGCACTACTGGTCATTATTGTCTAGCACTGTTGATAGGTGACCAGCACTCTGTGTCCGCGTCACCTTAGAGAGCAGACCACCACTTCTGATCACTTGGCATCACCTCCTAATGCTTTTGCCTCTGTTGCTGTCCAGTCCAGCCTTCAGACAGCTGTGATTGGCTCCTGTGGTGTCATCTCTGCAGCCCCACCTGTGAGCACCTCCAGCACCCACTGTAAGTTGGATACTGGCCCACTGCTTGCTGGTGTGCCATCAGCTACACCATCTTGAACGGGCAGCCTTTTGTTGGACTTCTGGACATTATGGACACTATCTGAGGTGAGAGAGACAGACT